TTGTGGAAGCCAAAATTACCAAAAAAAAATTAAAAATAAAAAAAAAATACTGTGCGGTACTTAATTGCGCTCGACTTTAATAGTTTAAATGTGGATCTGAGCTTCTACTTCTCTGCCAAATCTGAAGTCGGTAGCTGCAAATTTAGTTATTATTATTATTACGTTTTTTAATATTGCACGGACTATCGCGAACACCCTGTACAATAGGTGAAAACCTTAAATGCAAAAATTTTAGCTGTGTTTGCGAGCTTTATTGCCTTGTAAATGAAACTGATATCTGAAACACATAATAATATAAATAACGATAATAGGGGGACCCATTTTTCAGTTTTTTTTTAATTTACACCCTGTACATTTTTGAAAAATTGTCAAAGAATAAATGTTTATACAGCCAAATTTTCAATGTGTTCTCGTTCAAGAATTTTTTCGGTTCCATAAACAGTTTTCGAGAAATTATCTTTCCCTTAGACCCTTGCAAACGCAATTTTCATTTTTTTTTAAATACTTACCTACCCCCAATTCGTCCAATTTCAATAGCTTCCGTTAGGAGACCAAATTCTATTTGTTCGCCAAATTTGAAGTCAAATTTCATACACTTACCGTGTTTCGAAAAAAAAAATGTACGCCGAAGCTTGAACGCATATATTATGCATCCCGTGGACGGTTAAAAAGGAGAAAAATTTGAAGCGTGTAGCTCAAACAGAGACGGAGAAATGGATCGATATCTTGAGTTTAGTGAAGAGCGCGTATGCTTTCGAAAAGAATCGATTTCATCGATTTTTCGCGAGGCGACTGCTACGCGGTTTTGTATTTCAAAAAAGCCACGTTTCCTAGTCCAAGTATTTTCCCATAGAGTAAATAGTTTTCAAGAAAATAATTCTTTTCTGAAACTATACAGCAGGCCGTAATAGGAGGAGCGTACGTGAACAGCAAATACAAAAATTGTAGCTCTTGATGGAGCATTTAATACTGTTTGAACTGATTAGCCATATTTTCTACAAATTTGGATTTACGGAAAATAATTTGCTCTGAAAAAGAATAGTTTTCAAGGTCTTTTAGATTTTCGTCTATAATTAAAAAACCAACTACATAATCAAAAAATGCCTGAAATAAAAGTTATAGCACCCAATGTTCCGCGTTTCCTGGTTAAATAATTTTGCCAATTGAGGTAATAGTTTTCGAGAAAATATTTTTTTATGGAAGACAAAATAACAAAAAAAAATATTTTTTTTTAAATACTTTGCGATATCCGAATGCGCCGAGTTTCAACATTTTAAATATGGGTGTGGACTTCTATCTGTCTACAAAATTTTAAGTCGATAGCGGCATGCTTGCTACATGTATTAATGTAGCACCAAATAAATTGAACACCCTGTACAATAGGTGAAAACCTTAAATATACAAGTTTTAGCTGTCCATACGGGCTATATGGCCATGTAAAAGAAACTGACTACTGAAACCCAACATTCTATTACCATGATTCGACGCTGATTCGTTCTGTACCAATGGCGGTCCCGTAGGACCTACCGTTACCGAAAAAGAATCGATTTAATCGATTTTGCGAAAGCTACAATTAGTGCAAAGAAAGGATATTTTTTGCTAAAAAACATTGATTAATAGAGGTCCATATATGAATGCTGGGAAAATGCGTTTTACAGGATTCTCTATAGTCCAAACCAAGAAGAATTCGGAGAGCTTTTTTTGAAGACGAAACACTCTGACTACATAACTAGATCCACCCCATATTGTGACCCCAGAGTGAAATAAACCGAAATACACACTTCTCATAACTGAAGTATTAAGAGATTAATTTAGCTTTCGCGGCATAAAGAGTGCGGATGACAATGATTTATAGAGGGAGTCAATATTAATAGACCAATTCAACCTATCGTCAATAGCGATACCGAGCAGATTGACGCTCGTGTCATTCGTAATATTAACGTTAGAGGAAACTAAAAGGTGTTGCGTTTTATTTCGGTTCAAAAGCAAGTCATTTCTACTGTTCAGTTCGTCTAGAGACGAATTTCCGCAGATAATTATGGTATCATTTGTAAATAGTGTGCACTTGATGTGCTTAATACAATGTGCAAAATTATTTATATAAATGAGGAAAAGGAGCGGACCCAAATCCGTTCTTTGCGGTTAAAAAAGAAGGGGTACTACCATCTACGCTCACTCTTTGACGGCGAGCATTAAAATAAGATTCGAAAAAAGATATGACGGACTATGACAAACCGATAGTAGACAACTTTTACAATAACAAACTATGATTGACACAGTTAGGTACTCAAACTAGCCTTTTACTGAAATACAACTGTCAAAAATATATAATGGGTGTTTTATTTCGATGTATAGAATTTTAAGTTGGCATTACTGTTCAAGATGGCGACCGATTTAACAGCTGTCAACTGATTTATTCTCAGTTTGGTGTGGCAATTCATCATGAATAGACTCACGCCTGAACAACGCTTGCAAATAGTGCAATTTTATTTCGAAAATAACGGTTCTGTGCGGAACACGTATCGCGCACTACGTCCATTTTATCGTCGACAAAATCGTCCATCAGAGCAGTTAATTCGATTAATCATGGAACGTTTTCGCACCACGTCTACTCTTATTGATAATTCGCATCCCCAGAGACGCCGTACGGTGCGTACAGAAGAAGCTATTGCTGCTGTAGAGCGTAGCACTGAGGAAGACCCGAATGAGTCCATCCGCCATCGAGCACAGGAATTGGACCTGTGTCCATCCACTTTATGGAAAGTTTTGCGGAAGGATCTTGGTTTACGTGCTTACAAAATCCAACTCTTGTCCAAAACGAAATTGCCGTTGTTCCCGATTTTCATAAGCGAATTTTGTTTAGCGATTAAGCGCACTTCTGGTTGAATGGCTACGTCAACAAACAAAACTGCCGCATTTGGAGCGAAGCTAATCCTCAAGTGTATGTCGAAACACCGTTACATCAAGAAAAACTGACTGTTTGGTGCGCTTTATGGGCTGGTGGAATCATTGGTCCGTACTTCTTCAAAAGCGATGATGGCCAGAACGTTAGAGTCAGTGGTGATCGGTATAGAGCTATGATTACTCTTTCATTCCTGAATTGAATAGCCATGATGTCCAGGAGATGCAGTTTCAACAAGACGGCGCAACATGTCACACAGCTCGTGCCACAATCGATTTATTGAAAGACACGTTTGGTGACCGCCTAATTTCACGTTTTGCACCTGTGAATTGGCCTCCAAGATCTTGTGATTTAACACCGCTAGACTACTTTCTGTGGGGCTATGTAAAGTCATTAGTCTATGCGGATAATCCATCGTTGTTTTATTGCAACTTAAAGTTCTATACATCGAAAAAAACACCCCTTACAATCAGCTAAAGATAAAGGCCTCATTAAACATTGCCGCGAGCCATTTGAGAAGTATCCAGTACTCTAGTCACAGGTTTGCGAGCGAGCAGTGATGCTATTTTGACGGTTGTCAATCGTAATATTCACGTCACTAGAGTTTTGAAAAAATGTACCAAAAAATTAATGACCTTAGAAAAAGTCGGGTAGGCTCGTAACTAAAGTCATCATATCATACTTATCGCATAATATGCTATTTTAAAGTGATATTTTTCGAGTTAAGATTAGGACAGATAATAACATTTTGTCGACCACCGGAAGACAATTTTTTTCCTCCCAAAACACTAGCAAATTTGTGTAAAATTCAGGTATTGGTTCGGAGAATAAACAGAAAACAAAACTATTCTAAACCTTAGAATGAATACAAAACGCCAGTAGACAAAATAATATAATACCTATAATAATAAAATGCATTCCCTCCCTTGGTATGTATATGTATGTATATTACTGCTATCTTTTTTAGGTTAATTTTGAGAGAGCTTTTTTTTTCACCACCAACCTGAAATACTTTGACACTGACTGCCATTGTTCATAAAAAATTAAAATTTTGTCGCCGGTGCATATAATATTGTAGTAACTAATTAATAAACAAGTTTGATATAAGGTTTTGCTGAATTTATATTATAAATTTTTGATACCAGAACCGCTCACAAAACCACTCTATGAAATCGCGAAATTCAAGTTTGACGTATTTTATGTTGCTAGGTGATAACACAAACGCGTCTGTCTGTTCTGACAAATATTGGATTATCAAGTCATGCACTCGGACTTGTCATCACAATTGCATTCGGAAAAATGCAACAAAATGATTTCGGTGCTCAAAAAATGTCACAGCGGGCATCCGATTGGAAAGTTTTTGGGAATGTGTAACGAGGCCTACAATCAAATGGTTAAATGTCTCAAACAAGAACGTTTGGCGAGACGGGAAGAAAATTGGAAAAAATCACTAGAAATGAAGAGACGAATACAAGCAACTTTGGAACGAGAAGAATAAATTCATTGAAACGGGCGACTGGAACCTTAGTACCTACCATTGTAGTTAGAATTAATGTAAAAGTTTATGGAATGCAAACATAAAACAGTTATATATCTCTGGTCTTTAACCTTTTTTATTGGGTTTATCACATTACTATTTACGTCATATGATAGATATCGAGGAAGCCCCGAAACAAACATCCACATGAAACTACTGGATGTTCTCGAATGCAATGGAATTAGAGGGCACTGTATTGATAGTCTTCACAAGCAGTCAAACATTGTACTTGTGTGCACCTATATAATATATTATGTTACCTTTTAAAATAAGACTGATACAATAAGTGCATTTTTAAAATGAAATTCATAAATTTATATTACAAAATTGAGAATTTAATTCTCCGTTGTTTTGAATTATAGTTTGTTTTATTTTTGTTGGATTACTTGAGTTTAGTTCCTAAAGTGGAAGCATCATAATCATTCTTCAACTTTCTGAAAATCAATGTTAAACTGAGGTAGAAAATTAAAAATAAATAATTGTGTTATTGTTCAATAATATGTGATTGGCAAAAATTTAAACATTTTATTAGATCTTAGTTAAATTACAAAAAACAACGGTATCAAGTTTAAATTTAATTAATTTTAATTAAATTTAATATAAATAAATAACAATAAATAAATCGCAGTCTGGTTGGGGAGAATTATTCAACGGGTTTAACCGAACGGGCACCCTGTATTATAACACTGAAACCCACGTCCAAAAACTTGTTCCAACTTTGCAGCTCGTCCGCTGTCATCGAACCGCCAAACAATTCCATTAGTACTTCCTTCAGCTCCTGCAAATAAACCCGGATTCAATACCACTCCATTTCGTATGATAAAAGGTATTTTAAACTTCAAACACACAACACTCGTTAAGAGCGCTGTTCAATCATGCATATAGGGTAATTCATAAATCTCTTAACTGGAGATCCTAGACACCAGAATATTATGATTGACATCAACATGTCTCTTATATTATAATAATAAAAATTATAACAATTATCAATTTTTTTTGTGCCATTCACCCAAATAATTTTTAAAATACAACGAAATTTATATTTATTTATTTATATTTATTCATATTCAGCGTTACTTCGCCATAGCGTCGTTCTGGGAACCAAATGGAGATATTATTGGGATTCAACGAATCGCCAAGTATCGTACTCGAATATTGCTTGAACACAGTTATAGGTAAATTGGATATCACAAACGCATAATAATTTATTATAAAATGCATATTAGTATTAAATAATGACAGATAACACTCTTTATTTAAAACATTTTTTGAATAGTCAATTAAGAAGTGGTCAATTGAGCTGTCAATTGACAACTGTCAATGAACCAATCCCAATACAAGTTGTATATGACCGACGCACTTTAAAATCTACCTTGAACACTCTCTAAATATATGGAAGAAAAAGTGCGCTAATATGGGTTTCGAATTGCGAAACACAACACTAATATGCACTAAGAGTTTCTGATGACCAAGTAGTAATGGCTCAATCAGAAGAAGACTTGGAATATATGACTTGAAAACTATTGGAGAAGTATCAAATATGGGGACTAATAGTTAATATCGAATAAAATTGAAATACGTGATCTGAAGATGGACCAAGAATAGAAAAGAGTGACAAACTTTTAGTGCTAGCAAAGTTCAGGTTAGTAGGGCAAATGTAGAAACATGCCCGGAAAATTACCTTCTCTACGAAATTTTTACCATAGTAGGGTCACTATATTATTTAATAGCTGTATGGTCTGATCACATGACTAGAGAAAGAACGAAAAACATATACAACACAGTGAATAAAAGTACACACCCGTATAACTAAAAGGGATCAAAATAAAATACTGCCCACATAAATGGATGCATAGTGAAGGCCGGCGAGAATATCAAGATTGAAGGCAGACACCACAATTATATCGGAGAACAAAAACAACGTAGAATGAATATAAAATACTACCATTACAAGTATTAGAATGGTCACCGCAAAGACGAAGAGGAAAGTCAAAGAAAAACTGGGCACAAAACCTCAAGTTCATGGAGTGTCTATTAGAAGATGACTGTCATGATAGGAAACATTGGAAGTTAAGTATCTTAAGGCGACACCAAATGATATAAAATGATCATATACTCATACAATTAAAAATTTGGAGCTTATTTGGGCGTGCTCCTAGCGGGCGCTAGTTTCACTTCCATAAATCGAATATATTTTTTCTAAAGTTCGAAGTATTTCTTTGTGTAGATGTTTAAAGATGAAATTTTGCTAATAGTAATAAAAGCAACAAATCAAATACTACCTCAATACATTCTACAATACATTTAAATTTATTATATTTATAAAACATCCACTCGCCACCACATTTTCCGTTGCCAGTACGAAAATCTGAACTCAATACCTGAAGGATTTGGTATACGCTAAAGAAGTTCATTCTTTGCAGGAGTTGGGGCAGAAACTCGAAGGAACCGCAAATGTTTTTAGAAATACAAAAAAATTTTGTTTTACATTCAAGAACAATTCTATCATTTGCTTTGAAGATTTTTTGATTACTGTTACGAAAATTATTTGCAGATTTCTTATTATTCCCAGCATGTAATGTAATGTAACGCAATGAAAAACTGACGGAGTTAGGCCGGCGAAACAAAAGTACCTTTTCTATTAAAAATTGAACGTTATTTCCGATTTTAATGACGTAATAACATGATTGAAAAAAATATGATTCGATTTATCAAAAAAAAGCGTCTTCTGGGCGAAACGTTGACATATGCTTCGTAATTGTCCATAAAGACTTCTTCAATTAATGAAAAAATTCAGAAACCAATGATATTTGAAGCCATGTTGAGCTCAATCATAACAATTTAGTACCTACTGTAGAGTTTACCAGTTCTTTATGAATCACCCTGTATGCGCAATAACACAAGCACGTTATGTACCCAATAGGACATTTCTTGAACCCCGCGTGGAACGTGAGCTACGCCTTGCTTTGAAAGGAGTTCCTGCAACAACTCAGTGTCCCCTACGTTATTGACGATCGCAGTGAATGCATACATCAGACTAATACAATGAGCCCTAAAGCGTTTGTTTTTGGGCAGTTCGTCCCTGGGAATGTCGCGGAAAGGGAATAATTTTTGGTAGTTTGGGTACTTCATGAACAATCTGGAAATACAACCCTTCTCAACGTATTGGACGGCTTATTTCTCCCGGGTTCAGTGGTCAAAACGCATTGACCGGGAAACACTTACGCCATGAAGATAGCGATGCCAGATTCTGCGCTGTTTTGATTCAATTTGTTCCAAGTGGATGAGATAAATCGTCGATCTTTGGAGGTCAAACCAGTCACTGGATCGGGGTCGTCGCTTCTAACATCGGTTTCCCATAGTAAACTTCCCACAGCTCCCATTGGCTGTAAAGAAAACGTATTCAGAGAGTCTTAATGACCAAGTAATTCGTCAAAAATAACTGTTGCAAATCATGTCAACCAGTATTTCATCAACCGAAATTGCTCAGTTTATTGCACTAGAGCATAAAACCGTTTAGGACTTATTTAAATCATTTCTGGTTGCCAAATTATTTTGATTTGTCTTTGAGAACGATTTTTACGTTAGCAATCTGATAAGCAAGTTGTTGAGTGTATAAAATATATATTTTGAGTATATATAATATATAATTGAGTCACGAAAGACTACAAGGTCTCATCCAATAACGTTTTCCCATTAGGATGGACACAATAGAATTGAACTTCCCAAACTGAATCAACAACCGAATCGTAATAAACAACAATACATTATTAATTACGTATTCTCTATTGATAATGCAGGATTGTCGATGTTATGTCAAGGCCCACATACTATCAAACAACAAATTACTGAAGACTGAAAATGATTTTCAAAGTTGTAAGAGCTGCAGATTGTTGTAGATTATATTTGTTTATCGTTTTTATTACTTTTAGTTTAAATTTTTTCCAAATATTTTGTAGTGTTTTTGTCATCCCTCAAATAGCAATTATCAAACAACGTCAATACCATCTTGACATACCTAAAACATTTAATAAAAATTCATTTCACTCCTCCAATGACAAACTGAAGAAAGAAATTAACGACGTTCTGTGAGACTTTACTGAAATCAGAAAGGAATTTAAAGTACTTTTAACCTATCAATAAACCAGGAGGTTTATATATGGTGTGCTATTAGTGATGTCCCTTGAATCTTTAGTTTCTGCTTGACCGTGAGACAGGAATTTTAGTATGTAACACCTGCTAATAATAATGTAATGTAATTTTCTTAATTATTATTGAAATTCATTGAAACTAAATACTCTAATAGTTATTACAAGCTTATAGCAGACATAAATGTATATAAATTATCGAGAATTGTTTGAAATAATATACTACATAAACCTTATAAAATATGGAATGTGTCGCATTTAAGATCTGTCGGCTATCTAAGTAAACACAGATTTGACATTTTGCACAATCATGCGAAGTTATTTGAGAGAGTTATTCGGAATACAACTCTAATCACATATACCATATTTCATGACAAAATTCGCATTTTTATTTTTTTCCATTACTTTGGTCAATAAATTACTGGAGCTTGGAAAGCAAAATCTCTACAATATGGTCAATTTAATTCATGTAATTTAAATTCTTTAGTAAAATAAATAAGAGTAATTTATTTTGAAAAATATAGAATTTTTAGTAGGCAACTGATCAAATTTAACGAAATAATTAAAATCACAATCTGTCAAATGTCATCTCGCTCGACTATTTTTCCACTTATTCCAATACATTTTTCAATTCTTTTACTATGAAAATCATGATTTTCCTAAACTTAATCAGTTACCTACTAAAAGTTATTATTTTCTTAAAATAAATTATGTTAGTGTTATTGTTATTGTGTTATAACACTATTAAATTGACCATATTGTAGAGATTTTTTTTCATTACATTTAAATTTAACAAATAAAAAAATCAACTTTTTTAACAATTTTGTGTATTGACCAAAATAATGAAAAAAAAAGGAAAAAAGGGATTATAATGTATTACAATCAATGGTTCGCAATAAGCCGCATTTAAAATTTAATCTTTGGTTGAATATCTTTAAAAATGTGAACTACCTACCTGTATGAAACTTCAAATTTGTATTTAATTAGATAGTCAAAATATAGCGGTGTTTTCATCTTAAATGCGACGCACTTGTACAAACCAGAAACGGCGAATGCCCACCGCAATGTAATTTTAGGAAAAAACTAGTTTTTCCTAGGCAAATCAGTTTATAAGAAACGAGGAAAGGAGCATATATATACCAAAAACTGAGTCAGGAAAGTATGATAATATGATACAAGATATAAATAAACCAATTTGGTCTGAGTTAAACTAGTATTTGCAACAACCCATCATCAAAGATGAATCTCTCAATTTTTGTTAATTCTGCATCAATTTATATATCGATTCGCATCCACCTGTAAAAGCAACTCTTATTTCACCCGATTCCTTACAATTATGTTCTATAATATTCTATAAAATTCCTAGATATTCCACGAAATATCTAAATGAACAATAAGAAGAAAACCTGGATTTTATAGATTGATAGATAGATAATTACTTATTTCTTCCAAATTATTTCACAAAAAAACATAGCTAAATGGCATGGCGCAGTTCCACGGATCATTGAAAATAAGTTTTAAAAAAAAGTATTTCCAAATGATTATCTGTATATTCAAATAAGAAATAGAGATAAAAACACATATTAATCTGAATATCATTTGAAATTTACAATTGTGCAATATTTGACATTTCTCTGAGTACAGGTGAGTTTACACCTCTCAAGTATCAGGTTTGATTTATACCTAGTGACATAATCATGTTTGTCTACCAAATCGATAAACATTTCTCTGTTTTTAAACACAAATATAAAAGAATGGAGTACATACATGCCAACAAAGTGTTCACAACTATCACTCTATCAATCATTCGATAGATACTAGATATACATACAGATTTTTCTTGTGGAAGCAAAATCCCGCAAACATTGGAAAAGTTATTCCAAAATAGAAGTCCATATCTAAATCTAGAATGAATGAAGGCATGGTAAGTACAGTGCCGTGCTGCCTTAATTTTATACTAAAGGTAAGGTTTAAAAATTTTGGCGACATCATCACAATATTCCGTTTTATTGCTTTCCCTTGTAGCGACAAAAAATATCTAAACTTGAACGTGCGTAGTTGAAATCCCACCCAAATCCGCCAATTCAAGCCCGGGTCGAAATATATAAACCTTTATAAATATTGCCACAATTTCGCCGAATAAATATCAAACACTGACCGTGTATACTTAAGAAATTATTTGTTGGTTAAATAAAAATCGAAATACCGACGTCATGATCCACACAATCGAATTGGTTCTGTTTACAGGGGAGGGCTTCGCCGCTAACGCCAATTTAAAACGTTATTTTCATTCACGCCAGTATCATAATTACGTAGGCGCAGTCGAAATGACACACGGGAATTCCGGTTCAAACTTTTAATTGGAAAAAGGTTTCTTGGTAGTCCGACGGACATTCATTAGACATTTTTTAACAGCGCAATTCATTTATTCGGTTTCAAGGTAATTCAGCAACGTATGTATTGTTGTCGCAAATTAAAAAGCTGTTAAAGGTAGAAATCCATTTTCGTTTACCTCTTTCGATTATTCACCTGTTTACTGGCAACAATAATTTGAAAACAAGCACTTCATTTATCGCGAAGTATATTACAACAGGGTACAAGTTTCGCGCTAGTTTTCCACCAAGAGTATAACGCTGCATGCAAAGCAGTTCTACATTTAAACTGCCTACCAAATGGGGAAATTCGCTATATATACCTACATCGTTTAAGAGATTGCGGTTAATTGCATTACATTGTGACATCGTCTGCTGGGTTTTCGCATACATATGGGGTTCATGGTTCCAACAGTATAGACCGAAGGTTCGTGGACAGTACAGTACAGAAAGCAAAAATATCAGACAAATTACAAACTTTTTAAGCGTTTCTCCTTTGCAAATATACTGGATGTTTCAAAAAACGTTCGGTGGACTTTTAGGATTTTAAAATAATGCCTCAAGAATGTAAAAAGGGGCGCCAAAAATTGTTTTTTTTTTTGCAATTTCTGAAACGGATTGAGACGAAAATATGAAATTTAGTCTATATGATTGAATGGACCATAAAGTAAAATTTTATGTTGTACCGTGTAGCCCATTTATAAAGGACGCCGGCCATATCTCAGGAACTGTTAAATCGGGCAAGAAAAAAACTGGTTCATAAAATGACTGCTAGGTGGCGTAACCTCTACTTTGAATTGAAAATACGGGGTTTCTCAAAACTATTCCAAATTCACCTATATCAACATTAGTTTTAGCGTAATCTATTCTAAATAAGGAAACTTTTTTGTTTGAAACATTTTTTTCTACCTCTTCAAATTAGGGGTTGGAGAAGGGTTAAATATTGGTTTATAAAAAGTTGAATAACTTTTATATCACTGCCGTTTCCACTACTTTCCTTGTTTTTTTTTTAGGCTCTTTCATGTTAGCTAAAAATACTTATACCATTATATTTAAAATTTTCGAGAAAATCATAAAAATAGCTGTTTTTAGCTAAAAAAAAGTTATTCTACTTTTTCTAAACCAATATTTGACCCTTCCAACACCCAGAATTTGACGAGATAGAAAAAATAGTTCAAACAAGACAGCTTCCCTATCTAGAGTAGATCACGTTAAAACTAATTTCGATATCGGCTAACTTCGAATATTTTATATTTTACAGTGCAGATTAAGTAGTAGAGATGCTAATGATTAGTTTGCCCATAGGGATATTTTTAATTCTTTGGACGAAAATTATATATTCTTTTAAAATTTAATATGCAAAAAATATTGTTAATTGTTATAAAATTACATTATGTAACCAGCAGGTTTTATGAAAGAATCAAAGGCATTTGTATACTATATTTCATTTAAGCATCTCAAACCGTTTTAGAAATAATGAAAAAAAAGAAGATTTTTAGGGTCCCGTTTTAAATATTCTCACACCTTGCATTATGAAAATTTCAATCCTTTAAGCGGTTATTTGTATACAGAATATACAGGTATGAAATTTTTGGATAGATTACTTATTGGAAAAGCTGATAACTGCTCCTTATATGACTCTTTGCGCAAAATTCGGTGCCACAAGCGGCTCAAGTCAAAAAAATTTTATATGATGCCCATAAATCAGACAAACGTTTATATCGCATCCAGTTTTCAAAATAAAATGCTTATATCCCGAATTAAATTTGCTATCAAAGGGTTAAGAAAGTCAGACTTCTGGTACAGTCCAAAATTTAGTATTAAACAGACACACAGAGGAACAGACAATGCTTGGAGTGTTAATGGGCGGAAAATAAGGACAAGGAAGTATCTAAGTAAATACTTAATTAGGTACAAACGAAAATGAAATATTGCTAGCAGGCATTTCGCTCAACTAAAAGGCAATTTTTATTTTTTTTTCAAGGCGAATACCGTCAGAAAAAAGTAGATTGAATATGTATGAGAAGGACGTTTTCAAATGCTCTTTTTGATACTGTGGCTCAAGTAAGGAGATCGCGTATATGGAGATTCGAATTATGGACATTTGTCCGAAATCTAATTTTATTGTACAGTCTGACTTTTTCGTCTAACCACATATACCAGTCTAAAACAGAAGTTCTCAACTTTTTGAATGTTATCTAAACAATGCGTGTTACAGTGAGTTGTTACAATGATTAAACTGTGATAGAACTAGATTATCGCAAAGAAACCTTTTAGTATTCTATCAGACATAGTGACGCAGTCCATTTTTTTTTTTGCAAAGAATTTAGAGGAAGCGGAGAAGGGTCAAATATTGCAACTTCTTCAAAAGGACAAAACAGAATTTTTTATAGAGAATGTTCCGTTGCTTTTAGTATTATCAATTTGATTGTCATTTTCAAATATCGTCACTAAGTAAGTAATTAATCTCTTTCGGAAAATGGGGTACCTAACCTAAGTATGGATGTTTTGGTTGGTTGACTCAACAGCCATCTGCTTCATCAATTATGGAAGCGAAAGCTTTCAGACGAGCGATAAAACTTATTTTCTCATACATAAAATAAAAACATTGTGGCAAGTAAATTATAATAATTTTACCTATTCCTAGAAGGGCCACAGTCCTTACACCGCAAGATTTATGTAAGCCTTTTTTACTAAAGTGCCAAATCAAGTAATATTCACTTTCACCTAGAGATTTAAATAATATATTACCTAATAGCGGTTAACCGCGATGACAAATTCATAAATATATTTTTAATTAAAGGAAATCGAAGGCGTCAGCAAAATTCCGTTTTAAGAAGAGCAGACCCCACCTTTCAGTATTAATGTACATACATACTCATATGGATTTCAACACGGAAAATTCTTCTATCCAAGTAGAAAAAGATTATTTATAAGTCATCTTATCCCAGGTTTTTAACATATTTTATCATTATTTATTTAAACCGATTAAAAATAAAATTCACAGACCCGGCACAAACTCCGAAATACCCTTGTTTCAGCAACTCCCCAGAATTTTTATTTTCAGATTTTCCTAATTCGATTACTTACAAAAGGGGCCCCTAAACACACGGGATCAAAGGGATGTTTGTGTGCGTTTGTGAACAGCAAAAACTTCGAAAGGCCGCTTATACTTTTGTTATGAGGCCTATGTGTTCAAATAGGAGATATATTGCAATTGCCGATAATGTAAAAAAAAGAGATAAAATCATTCTGTTTTTTTGTTTAGAATTTTTAAGATTGAAGCATCGGATGTTACTTTCTTAAGTTGTTTTTAGTCACTCGTTTACTAATGTGGGATTTATTACTCTCGTTGCCTATTTTACAAAGAATATATCTTTCATGTTCCATTCCCATTGTATGGGAACCGGCTGTAGAACTAGATTTAATCAAATGAAAATTTAGCACATTATAATTAAACCCTAGCAATTTTATTTAATTTTGATATGCTTAGAAACACAAAGTATACCTTGTGCCAAATAAAACGATCCACTATACAAACTAGAAACCCATAAGAGATACGAAAACAAGTTTCTTGGACTCTCCTGAAGATTTAGAATGTTATAATTTTGTTGATGTTGACTAACCAAAAGTCTTTCTCCCCCTTCCCCCCTGACATAAACTTTGTTATTTTAAAAGGAAAATCCTGTATATTTCGACATTTTTTAAATCCTTGCTTAAAATAAAGTTCACTTTCTTAAGAAATTCCTATTCGAACTTTGCATAATTTATGCAGACATTGAGGTTACGTGTTTTTTTTTTCATATGTTGATTGCCCCATATAAAATTGTATTGTGACGTTACTGATCCAGGCATTGCAACGAAAATTTAACCACAGAATAAGAAGATGATGCCCTACTCAATCAGTTTGACAGATGCCCCTCAGTTTATACAGAGTGTCCGAAATAGGTTAAGAGTTAACAAAATCTCAAGATTTTCAAATGGGACACCCTATATTTTTATTCAGACATCAATTCCAGGAGAAAAAATAAGGTAAGTTTGTAATTTATCTTATATTAAAATTTTACTTACTTTCTCAGATATTCGAGGTTTAAAATAGCACCCGTATAAAATCTTGTTCAATTTTAAGCTGCCCACACTAGGTCACTTCTTGGCAATTACAGGTAATTTTTAAATAGCAAAGACATGATACTACTTCTTTTAAAGACATAATACTCCAGATATATTGCTAAGAATATAGATTTAATAAAACTTCAGAATTCATATTTAAAGAAACATTGTCTAGCTTGACTGAAAATACCTAATAACACAAATAAAAAATTAAAGTTTATATTCTAACTAACCAAGGTAACAAAGTTGAATAAATAAATATATTAAAAAAAAGTTAACTAAAAAGGGTTCATTAGTTGTCAGGTTTTTTGTTAGTACATATTTTATTTGTATTTTAAAAAAGTTATAGTTTTTTAGTTAACCTATAAAATTTAATTATTTATTTTTGTTATTAGGTATTTTCAATCAAGCTAGATAATTAACTATTAACTGTTTCTAGAAATATGAATTCTGAAGTTTTATTAAATATGTGAATGTGTGTAGTATAAAGTCGTTTTTTTTTCATTGGGTGTCCATTGTGTGTGTGTATATTGTTAGCATATATTATATATTATATTTTTAAGAGAAGTAGTATCATGTCTTTGCTATTTAAAGCGTTTGCGAAATCCTGTATCAACAAAATTATAATATTTACATTTCCAGGAGAGTCCAAGAAACTTTTGTACGAAACTTTTTTTCGTATCTCCCATGGGTTTCCAGATCGTATAGTTTTATTTGGCACACAGTGTACAGTGAATTGAATGCCTTTGGATGAAGTATTAATGCTTGAGCAAGTAACAAACTAATAGATAATACTATCTTATGCAACTCGTTTTATGAACTAGACTTTAGATATGACTAAAGTGTGACGCGACCATCAAAACTTACAAGTTTCAAAATAATTTATATAATATATATAATAATATAGTTTTAAATCCATCGACAATATCCTGTCGCTTTCAACCAGTGACTAAAATAATAGAAGTCACAATACCCTTAACAACAGTATACAGTATACCAGGTAGAATAAAAAAGTAGGAACACTATATAACTTTAAATGTACATTCAATGACGATAAACTTGTTAATTTTTAATAGCACACATTGAACTCTGTTAAATTTTTGGATTTTTTTTTCCAACAACTAGAAAATCAATGAATAGTATTAATTAGTTACAGGTTATTCCCACT